GCATGGAAATGTACTACTAATTATGAAAGTTTGGCCTTAGCTTAGGCTTGTCCCACTAGCGCTTATAATTTTAATTAACCTGCTATTAATCTATGTTTTCCCATGTAGTTTTTTTTAAGCTTTCTTTCTTTCTGTATGTGTGACTTCCTTCATGTCTAGTTGGCATCTCCTCCACACCTCGATTATCTTCTCCTGTTTTCTCTCTTTGGGTGTGACAGCATGCCTGCATTTAGGAGATGGATACAGAATCAAGAGTTCAAGGCCATCCTCAGTCTACAGGTCAGCCTGGATTAGATGAAAGCTTGTCTTGGAAAATAATTAAAATTAAAAACATAAAGAACTTGGAAATTCCTGCTTAAAAGGAGGGGGATGTGAACCCAACCAGAGAGAGAGAGAGAGAGAGAGAGAGAGAGAGAGAGAGAGAGAGAGAGGATTCTCCCCACATTCTAACTGGTTCTCAAGGCTTTTGAAATTGCCGTCGTAAAGCTTCCCTAAACACAGAGGCTGTACACCCCTGTGAATCAGCATCAAATGGTCCACCATACCTCAGGGCTGCAGGATTTACCAGCATGCCTCACTCACTTGGGAACGCATTCCCAGGATGCCTCACTCACTTGAGAACACATTCACTCACTTGAGAACACATTCCCAAGATGCCTCACTCACTTCAGAACGCTTCATTCACTTTAGAACACGTTCCCAGGATGCCTCACTCACTTGGAAATGCATTTCCCAGGATGCCTCACTCACTTCAGAATGGGTTCCCAGGATGCCTCACTCACTTGGGAACGAGTTCCCAGGGTGCTTCACTCACTTCGGACTCCTGTTGTGTCCTCCCTTGCGAATTAGGGCAGAGCGTTAAATGCAAAGACCAGGCACAGAATAACAGAAAAAGGGACAGGCGGGTTCTGGGCAAGGCTGACTGGGCTGACCAAAGAGAGGCTCTCCTGGAGACTAGTCCAAGGCGAAATGCCGACTGATGCAGGCTGATGTGGGGAATTCTGGAAGAGCCAACTGCTCTCGTTAGTTCTTTTGTCAATTTCACACAAATTAGAGTTATTTCAGAAGAAAAACCTTGGTTGTGAGAATGCCTCCATCCAATGACATGTAAGTAAGTTGTGGGGCATTTTCTTAATCGATGATTGATGTAGGGGTACCCAACTCGCTGTGGGAAATGCAATCCCTGGGCTGGTAGTCCTGGGCTGTATAAGAAAGAAAATGAGCAAGCCATAAGCAGCAGACCAGCTCTTGCCTTGAGTTCCTTAGTTTAGGCTTGTTTTTAATTAGCTCATAAATTAATCCATTTCTATTCATCTGCATACTGTCACATACCACCCATCCTGCTTCCTCTGTCTCCCCAAGTCTTTCTCTTGCACACTAGATTCCCCCTCCTACTCCTCTCTCTGCCTGGAAGTTCCTCCTAGACCTTTTGCCTAGCTATTGGCTGCTCAGCTTTTGATTACACCAATCATGGCAATCCACCTTCGCATAGTGTGCAACTATCCCACACCGTGAAAGTGTGTGATCTGGAGGCTAGCTTAGCTCCTTGCTCCCACATTTTCACAGGCACAATGCAATCGTCATCCAATTTTTTTGGAGAAGTGTGGCTTTATTTATCATTCAGTCAGGAAGCTGATGGAGCAAGGCACTTTGGGAAAAACCTTCAGTCTTTCACTTGCTTATAATTGCTTAACAAACCGCCTTGTCCCTAGGTACTACTGTACCTATTTTCCTGAGTTGCCCGTTGGTGGTTCACCATGAAATCCCATAGCTTAAAACGTTTCTCCATGACACCAGCACTATTTTCACACACAGCTCATGATAGTAATGTCAGCCTGTGCCTTTTCTTTTTTAAAAAAGATTTTATTATATGCGTATAGTGTTGTACCCTATGTATATCTGTGTACCATGTACATGCAGCACCCTCGGGGGCCAAGAAAAGGCAACAGATACTTCAGAACTGAAGTATAGATGATTTCACACCACACATAGGTGCTGGGGATGGAGCTCGGGTCCCCAGAAGAGCAACCAAAGTTCTTAACCACTGAGCTGCCTCTCCAGCTCACTGTTCTTCCTAAGAAGAAATGATAGAAACCCAAGGAAGAGCTAATGATATTGACTCTTGTAGAAAATATTGAGTCCTAAATAGAAGCTCCTGGATGTTGGATTTACCAGGAAGCCATCCAAAAGCAATAAAGAAAAAACTGCAGCTATTTAAAGGTAGAATCTGGAGAGAAAGAAGTAGATTTCATCAATTAAACAAGCAAAAAATTCTCTGAGAAAACTTTGGAATTCCTAACAGTCCTGGAGGAGCCCAAAATTCTATATGATATTGTTTCAGGAAGAAGGGGCACCTAGAGCTGTAAAAGACCATGGGATGTCTGGCTTAAGAAGTTCACAGTTTAGAGAGTATTAATTTTTTAATTAGAGAAACAACACACATTCAGTGTAGACACATTGGAAAATCAAAAAGTAAATCACATTTTTAATCTCACTTATTTGTTTTATATGTATGAGTATTTTACTTGCATGTCTGTGCACCACATGCTTCTCTCGAGGCCAGAAGAAGATGTCAGATTCCCTAGAGCTTGAATAACAGGCAGTTGTGAGCTAGTGGTGTGGGTACTGACAACCAAACTCAGGTCTTCTGTACGAGCCATAGCTATTTGTAACTATTGATACATCTCTGCAGCCTAAATAAATATTTTTAATTTTGAAAATGCACAGATGAAGTCACAAAACAATCCCACACCAGTTAGGAATTAGGGATAATAAAAAGGGTTATTTCTTTAGGAGAAAAATTTACAGATCACCACCCCAAACAACAGTCCTCTTGTCGCAAACAGGAAGCAGAGACTAGCAGCCGGAATGGGAGCTGGAAGCAAGAGAGAGAGTACATGGTTCCCGTTGCTTTTTAAAGTATAAGAGATCACACCCCAGTGGGCTGGTATCCTAAAGGCTATTGGCTGAAGGGGCAGAATGTGCTCCCACAGCACCTCCCCATTTTGTTTAAATAAAGAGTTCCAAACCCCAATATAAAACTATATACAATAGGAACAGATATCAAGTATAATTAGAATTACATCCAGCATAAACAATATTAAGTAAGGAACATATGCTAAATGTTTTAGTAAACATTCTCTCCTATGGCGTCTAGGAAATGGCTTGACTAGATCATAAGAGTACAGTTAACTACGACTATCTAATCTTCAATCCCACTGAAGGCCTGAGGAGGGAGACAATATTACTTGAGCAGGCAGGAAGTACAATCAAGTAGCTTCCAAAGTGAGCAATATATGGCAGAGACCCAAAGTCTCATTTTGCAATGTTGAAGTAACCAACTTTGGCTAAGGCCCAGTGTAACTGACAGACCATTTTCAGAGGCAGGAAAAATTTCAAAACCATTTTACCCTGTCTTGGCAAGACTTGACAGTCCTTCTTATCCATTTCTGGATATCATGTAACTTGTCAGTGGTTGAGTCATTGTCACTTCCTTGCCCAAAGGCCAGTTTTGCCAAGAAGAAAATAAGCTCCAAGTGGAGTGTCTTCAGTGCTCAACATTCTCTCAGAAATAGACTGGTGCTGTCAGGGGCAATCATGTCTCATTCAGCAGAGCCCTAAATTATTTAAATGCCATGTTCCACAGATTATTGAAGTGGTTGAAGAATACCTATCTAGACAGAATATAATCTCTATGTATCTAAAGAACCTAATTGATGTGGTGTAGGATGTTCTTCTGTTCATGTGTTGCTTTAATTGGTTGAATAAAGAAACTGCTTTGGCCTTTTGATAGGGCAGAACTTAGGTAGGCAGAGAAGACAGAACTGAATGCTGGGAAGAAGGGTAGAGTGGCAGATGCCATGGTTCTCCTGCCTGAGACAGATGCTGGTTAGAATCTTGCTGGTAAGCCACAGTCATGTGGAGATACACATTAATGGAGATTGATTAAACTAATGTGTAAGAGCCAATAAGAATTTAGAGCTAATGGGCGAGGCGGTGTTTAAATGAATAGCTTCTGTGTGATTATTTCAGGTGTAAGCTAGCTGGGTAGCCAGGACAGAACAAAGGGACCCTCTCTCCCAACATTGATCTGACTGTATGTACAACAAACATGAACAACTATTGACCTAATACTTGTATCTTGACCTTAATACCTGTATCTTGATCAGAGGTAGGAGTAATATATAATGCAATATAAAAATATAGCCTAAAAGTTGTATCAGTGTCCTAAACTGAGGTAGAAACATGCACAAATACAATCTGACAAAATAACTTTGTATAAATGTACAAATAATGTAATCTAAAGTCACAAATATAATTTGAACTTGTATCAATATACAAAAACTATACCAATGTAATGTAAATTATCCATGAATAATAGCTTACAAGTATTCACTCTATTACCCACTATTACTGTCCCCCCCTTTTTTTTGAGCAAACATAGTTTTCACCCCAACCCTCTACCTAGGACAGGTAATATTCAACAGTCCCTAAACAGTGTTCCCTATGAACAAACTTTTTTGGGATGGGGGCATCGTCTTCTAGAATTGCTTCCCAGGGTCATGGGGGTGAAGTTCTCTTAATGGGATCCTGCAAAAATTAAGTGATGGTTAAGTTTCAAAATTACAGTCTAGTACAGTTGCAAACAATTTCTGATCAGTCAATAGTTTTTTTTTTTCAAAGTTCTCATTTGGAGTTCTGGCCAGAATATGAGAAGGTGCACCATTTCAGCAGCTGTCTTATAATAGTGCTGTCTGCATCACGATGTCATCTCAACTAGGTAGAGTGTTTGCTATGGAGCCCCATCTTCTTCCTGGAAACTTCAAAGATTACCGCAGAAAAAGGATCTGTAGGAAAATCTATTGTTCATCATGAAAAACTTAAACATCAGTCATATAAACATATATATAATGAAGAATATGATATAGACAAAATAGGCACAGAGTGTAACACCCAATTCTGTGTTACACCCTTGGTACAGTTTGCACACCACTGTACCATATGCGAGTTGGGCAAGGGCCTGGAGATTGAAAGAACACACAAAGAGACCTGGGTCATTCGAAAGGAAATCAGTCGAATGCCGTTTATTCAACCTTGGGGGAAATCCTTATATACCTTGCTGCTGCACAAGGATTTCTGCCCAGGAAGGTGGGAAATTACCATGCCAAAGATGGAGTCAACAATGCCCTATAGCTAATCACCAGGTGGGGCAGGGGGAGCACAGGAACAAACAGAATGCTTTAGTTAGCTGACCAGAAACTGTCCTCAAGATGCACCCCAGGAACAAAGGTAGACCGGGGCCCTACAACAGGGAAAGTAAATTTTTTCCTAAAGTTTTCCTTCTGTCCCATACCAGATGGCTCCTGATATGAGATAGAAACTCTGAATGTTCCTTTTTAACAACATGCTTGGATTTAGAGAAGTACAGAGCCATTGTCCAACTCCAAACCCAGCTAAATATATTAATAGATAGATAGATAGATAGATAGATAGATAGATAGATAGATAGATAGATAGATAGGCAGGCAGACAGACAGACAGATTGGTGTATATGCACACCTGTGTGTACAAATGTAAGTGTAACCAGCACCTTTATATATAATCCATATCCCATGGTCTGGATGCTCTTTAGTGGATAGTCATTTTTCTGTCATTCTGTCAGCACCCAAACATCCAGGGTCTCTTGAATTTTTGATGACATGTAATTTTCCCACATTAAGAGCAGAACTCTGTCCCAACCCTATATGTTTTCCTTACCACCTGTATGGTTGTCACCATCGTGGATGAGCTGTCATTTCTCTGTTTCAATAGAAACAGAGAATTTGTCTGTTTCTCTGTTGAAAAGGCTTATCCTTTTCAAAATGAGTCTTTATTAATTTTGATGGTATCCATAATTTTTCTTCTCCTGGGGAAACAAGAGCAAAACCCCTTCCCAACACAGCACATCTCCTGGTTTCTATTGTGAGGTTAGCACATCTTTGAAATAAACTGGTTGAGTTTCTTGATCATTTCTCCAAGAGTGTGCTGGTCTTCAGTTTTGTAAACACACTCACACAATGTGTGTTTTTGCACAGTGTTTTTGGGACAATGTCTTCAAAGTAAAAACTGCTAAGCACGATCACGCTGTTTCTTTGAGCCCTGAGAGAAAGAGAAGAATTGGTGACTACCCAGGCCACTGTGTTGACCCACAACGCCTAGTGGGAGTTTAGCAGAAAATCCCGGGCAGCTGCACCATCAGTGTACTCTGAGCCCTGAGCACCCATATCCCAGCATCTCCAGAGTGCAATGTTGAAATACATTTTCTCAGTTTGAGACCCTCAGTCTCTGCACTGACTACAGCCTCCTCATACAGAAATGAGCAAGAAAATCCTGCAGATGGAAATCCTTAAAGCCCTAGCTGGGCAGGAGGCATTTAAGGGCACTTGCTGCAGCCAGGTAGTGGTGGCGCACACCTTTAATCCTAGCACTCGGAAGGCAGAGGCAGGCGGATCTCTGTGAGTTCAAGGCCAGCTCTGGTCTACAGAGGGAGTGCCAGGACAGGTTCCAAAGCTACAGAGAAACCCTGTCTGAAAAACAAACAAAAGCACTTGCTGTACATAACCATGAGTTCAGAGTGAGTTCAGAGTTCAGATCCCAGCACCTGAATAACAAGTCAGGTGTCACCAAGCAGCGGGGAGACAGGAGGACCCTTGGGTTTGCTGGTTTCTAGTCTAGTGGAAAGAATATGTATCTCAGGTTCAAGAGAACTTACCTCAGAAGAACAGGCAGAGTAAAGTCTGCCGCCTTCCTACACATGAACAGCCACAAACACTTGCATGCCCAAACACACACACAGACACACATGCAAATTAATCTTTTTAAAAAGCAGTAGCTGATCTACAGCAATAGCCTGGCACTGAGCCACTGATTAAATGTTGCATTAATTGTGTACAATAGATATTTCTCTCAGTATTGCCTGTATTTCGAAATCTTGAACTTTAGAGTTTCTTTTTTTTAAAGGTGTATTTATTGTCTTCACATTTTCTGCATATGAGTGTGATGCTTGCCTGTATGTCTGCCTTGTGTGCATGACTGACTGTTGCCCTGGAGTCCAGAAAAGGTGTTAGAGGCTCTGGAGCTGGCGGTCCAGCTGCGTGTGCGCCTCCCTGGGTATGCTGAAAAGGGAGCCTGGGTCTGTGCAAAAGCAGCAAGTGCTCTTAACCGCTGAGCTGTCTCTCAGACAGGTCTTGGCCAGAATGTCCTCCCAAGTCCTTGAAAGTGGTTTGAGATCTGTGGCAACCCTTTCTTCAGCACCTCGGCCAATCCAAGCAAGTCTCCAACTCTGAGGAGCAATTTTCCCAGCCTTGTGTCTTTTCTGGATGCCCAACTTGAGAATGAACCACTTCAGAAACATGGAAATCCTTTAAGTACCGCATCACATTTGTCCCCCTGTGGTGGAAACATTGTCTCAAGCCTGTGTTCAATCCCTAGGGAAAAAATAGAATTGCTTATTAATTCATTTTAAACTGACCATACTTCTTACATGACTTTCAGAGACGCAACCTAAGAGATACTGAGATTCCAAAACATTTAAAAGACAAGACATAAAATCCAAACTGAAGAAAGATTCTTTGGTAAGAAGTTGGCCAGGGTTTAGAAACAGGTGGAGAGCACGGGGTTCCAGAAGAAGCGAAACATCACACAGACACAGCCCACTAAGAGACATCTATGATGTAATAAAACAAGATGATTTAAAAGTTTCCAAATAGAAATGGGTAACAAATGAATACGCACTCACAATCCATGACTTTCCCATTAATAATGGGGTACACCCTCGCCCATGGTGTCACCTCCCAGGCACAGTAACAAAGGCTGTTTTGTCTGGTGTTGTGGGGTAGGTATCCCCCAGAGAAGACTACTAGGACAATGGTTTTGGTCACGCCTTTGTTAGCCCGCCTGTGACTACACTGGGTGTTCAGGATCCCAGTGTAGTCCTGAGCCTCTCTCAGGGTCAGCTTTTAAGCATTAAAACCATATCCTGGTTTGACTTACTTTAGTTAACAAGAATAGTTAGTTAGAAGTGAAAGAAACAACAGAAGCCAAAAAGCAAGGTTAGAACATTTAGAGACTTTTCCAGAACTATGGACTTTGATGGATTAAGCCTTTGCTTTTGTTTTGGGAAGAGGTGCTGTCTTCATGCTGACTTGGCCTGATGGTACTTCCTTCATGGAGTCTGTTGTGCTAAGGTCTGGGGGCCTACCAAGTTTTGACAGCCTGTTACATAGTGACCCTTTCATCCTTGTGTGAAGACAACAACAGCAAAAAATCGTCTTAGATCACTAACATGTTTAATTTACACTCTGGCTACCTTTAACATGACCAGCACTGTGCTGCCGTGTATACATTTTAGGATATTCTGCCGTTACACACCTTGCCCCAGGGACACTGGTGGAGTACATGGTTTCAAACACTGGGAACTAAATCTACAAAGCAATTCTTGACTGAGGATGTCACCTGTTAGCCACCAGCAGGAACCATGATAATGGTGTGGCTACACTATGGATCCTAGAACGGGGAGCATGGGTGAGGGATGCAGCTCCACTGGCCCCTGCTTAGCACACGTGCTCTCCAGCATCACGCAGGACTGGCTCTGATGCTCCACGCCTGCCACCCCAGGATCCAGGAGGCGAACCCCAGAAACTCTGAAGTTCCAGGTCATTCTCAGCAATCCTTGGTGGGTGCCTCCCAAACTGGTTCTGAGTTGTATTTTTTCACTAAGAAAGCCCTTCCTCTTGCAACTGCCAGGTAGCCCAGGAAACCCGACTTTCCTCACCAAAATCACTAAGGACACTAAAGGAATGAATCATATCTTCAGCACCAAAAGAGTGGGACTCCCACGTGTGGGTGTGTCTGTAGTTAGCATGAGGACAAACCTCTTAGTCAGTCCGGGAAAGATAAAAGGCACACGTAAGATGCAAACGCAGACAGCCCTGCTGGCCTACTGAAAACTGAAGACCACCACGGCATATCACCAGGAAAATTAGGCAAACTAACACTCCACCAATCACAGTTCAGAAGGGCTTCCCTCACTTCTACTGTAACCACTCCACCCATCTGTGGTAGAAACCAGAAGGCTAAAACAGGAAATAACCAAGTTCTAGATTATATCAGAATAGAAAAATGAGCGAATCACTTCCGTAGAGGGAGGTGGCAAAGCACAGCCGCAGCTGAAGCAGCAGCTTAGGGCAATGCTCTGAAGAGAAGGTACCTTACTTCCTAGCAGCCTGTTTGCCCAGTGCGGTGTCCCAACAGGGAGAATAAATTGACCTGGGAACGAAGGAGTAGAAACGGTTCATCCCATTCCCGACCGATCCGCTTCATTCCAAGGAGGATCGTAGTTAGGCTGGATTCCAGAAAAGCTCTTTCCGGTGCAGTCAAACTATAAAGCTTGTGACTCCAACAAACACTCCAGTCGCAACTGCCTTTGTACAGTTTGAAGGGAGAAAGCTCAGTACTAAAGCGTCCGGGCGCGGTGGCTCGAACAGGCTCAGAAATCTGTTCTCCGGGAGTTAGACCATGTTATGCTTCGCAGATTCTGTTGTTGTTGTTTATCCTTCCAGACCTCTGTCACTAACCAGGAAACCGCTACCTGTGTCAAGGGCGAGTTCTGGGCGCCTTGCTGGCTGGAGCCTAGTGACGGCGCGCCCCCTGCCGGCCAACGCAGCAAGTTCTGGAGTGTTTGGCTCTCCTGCTGCGCCAGGCTGGATGCAGAAGGATTTGTATGGTGTGGGGGCCTCTGTCTCTGGAGAGGCAGAGGCTTTGTAAGAAAGTATCTGTCCAGGTTGGAGAGATGGCTCAGCGCCCAAAAGCACTGATTGCTCTTCCACGGGACCTAGATTTGAATCCTCGCATCCACGTGACAGTTTACAGTAACTCCAGTTCCAGGTGGATCTATCGCCCTCTTCTGTCCTCTATGGGCACCACACAGGTGGCACACAGCCGTTCTTGCAGTAAAACACCCACACCCCACACACCCACCCACACGCGCGGGGAGGGGGGCGGCACACACGCGCGCGCGCGCACACACACACACACACACACACACACTTATTTTAAGTTACTGTCTGTTCTAATTGCCAGGTAACTTTCACAAGGTTCCCCTTGTTTCCTCCGTCTGGGGGCTTTCACTCAGCAGGGTGGGCAGGTGGGTTCCTTTCTCTGTCGCCCTTTGCGGCTCCTTTCCCCTGAGACGAGAAGAGCAGCTGTCAGAAAACTCAATATGGGAGAGGGACACACGCCACTAACTTAGCCACAGCTTCATAAACGTGACGTGACGTCACCAGCAGATGGAGACGGAGACACAGCACCATCCCATCCCCCGCTGCAGCCTGAAGAGATTTCCTCCCCTAGGGAATCCACTCAGACCTGGCCAAGAGCTGGGGCTTCTCCACGGGCTAAGGGTTCCAGAAACGGTCCGCGTGGAGCAAAGTTGGCTGTATAAACTAGAAGGTGCTTCCCTAGAGAGAAACACACCCAGACAGTGTGGGCTTCTAACAGGGTCACAAGGAGGTGTCTTTACAGTGGGAACAGATAGGACCCCGTGGCTCATAGGACACGTGTCTGAAAGTCACTAAGAAACTCCGCTTCCCTTTTTAATGTTTCTCAAAGAGTATCTTATAGGGTTAAACGTCCAAGAATTCTCCTCCATGAATAAAGTTGTAAGCTGGGCTTCTTGTTTGGTGGCAGCCTCACCCCAGCCCCTGGTATCCATATATCCAAAGAGTCTGGAATGTTCCGGTGGAGCTTCCATCCGAAGCTCCCTCCCCTGGAGTTGCCTAAATTCAGACTCTGCCCCTGAGAAAATCCGCCAAATGATGACCCCTCCCCCAGAGATGCTCAAGGCCACTCCCACAGGGGATTTAAACTGCCCCCCAGAGAACAGATGTGTGGTTTTCTAGTCTTCCTGACCTGTCCCCTCTCTGGAGGGCTGTATCTGGTAGTGCTGTATCCATTAAATCTGGGCTTTTTCTAATTCTAACTCGGTTTAATTTGGTCTGATTTGTATTGTTGTGTCAGTGGAGAAGCTTATTGAGGTACAGAAACTTTTCACTTCTTATGGGAACCAGTGAGTTTGAGGAAAACCAGGGGAGTGCTGAGAACTTAGAGCTGTGCATCCTTTAGGTCCTAAGTAAGTTTATCACCATCCTTGGCAACTTGTCCTTTGGGAAACTCTGTCCTTGTGGGTAGTTTGGCCCTATAGGGGGTGCCAGAAGCTTTCTGACTCTTGTCAACGGAACAAGCCAGCCAGATGTGTTAGGTCAGAAGCCTGTGGGGTTAAGATGCTGCCCACTCTTAGACACCAGATTTGGCAGCCTGGAGACACCCTGGGGGCAAGCAGCTGTGTGCTGGCTCTCCCTCTCTTCCTCCCCTCCTCCCTCTCCTCCCCTACCCCCACACCCCCATCCCACCACACACACACACACACACACACACACACACACACACAACCAATACAGAAAGTTAAGGAGAACCCTGATGTATGGTGGTTTTGCAATACAATCTCCTCCAATCTAAACAGAAATGTGTGGTATTTCGCAGTACTTGGCTCCTAGGCGGGTGGCCTGCCTCAAGTTAGGTGTGAAACTTGCCATTTAAAGTAGGTCTCCCAAAATTGAAAAGGTCAGCTTCCCACTTTGTTGTGAAGTTCCTCTGAGGTTTTATGCTGTTGTGGGTCTGTGCAGTGCTCTTGTTTCTCTGGACGAAGCCAGAGGATTTGGGAGTGGGGCAGACCTCATGGCGCTCAGACCTCAGGCTTGCTAAGATGACCCTTCAACTCCTGATCCTCCTGCCTTCATCCCACCCCAAGTGCTGGGATTGCAGGTTACACTACTGCACCCAGCAGGAAAACCATACTGTTTCTGACAAGACGTTCTCTTGCTCCTGAGTCCTCTCTGACTTCAAGACCAGTCACGGCCCCCATGGTGAGGAGTTGCTCTCCCAATGACGCTCATTTTAAGCCGGTTTCCTTCCTAGCTTGCTCGTCTCTATCCGCCACAACAAAACCTCCTTTCCCTTTCCCTCTCATCACTCCAGGATGTTCCCACTTTCTGTCCATCTTCAACAATGTTGGCATTTTCAACTGGAGGAAAATGCTGAATTATCTGTTCAATGTTGCTGAGGAAGTCAGTGGCCCACATGGGGTGGGGACGGGGGCAAGAGCGGGTCTCTCTGTCAACAAAGGAAGATGAAACTGGAGAAGCCCCAAAGTTTTGTTGCTTGTGGAAAGTGTGCTGACAGACAGACTTACAGTAATGTAGCTTTGTCCTCTCCATCAGCTTCTCCTACTATTATTAGTCTAGAATCCTTAGGAAGACAATGGAGAGCTCTGTTCTGCCGTGTGGTCTGCACACAGATAGCGAATGAGGTGCAGAAAGCAGAAGTGGGAGCAGAAAGCTGGCTGCGCTCCTTTGCCATCTAGAACACAGTTTCACAGTTGGCCATCTGTCTTTAACCTTTGGTTCCTGGGACTGGCTACAATGTTGCTTTTTTGTTCACACCCACTACCAGTTGTTAATCTTTCTGTCAACTCATGATTCAGCTCTCCAAGCAAGGACTTGTAACAGGTGCCCTTGGGCCAAACTTAGCTTGATTTTAACAATTATGCATTTTGAAAATTCTAAGAGGATACGTCGGTGAATTATTTAGGTGAATGATTTTGTTCCCAAAACATTTATTTGTTTGTTTATTTATTTATTTGAAGTGCTAGGGATTGAGCCCAGGGCCTCCTACAACATATCCTTTCTGTGGACGATCTCCTGCTACTTGGAAGCTTGGCTGGCTTACTATCTCTAAAGTTCTCACCTATAGTAATATTTCTGAAGCAAGGAACCTGGAAGCCACCAGCTAGCTCAGGGTGGCTGCCTTGCATCCTGCTTCCTAAATGATTGTTCATCCGCCGGAGGCAATATAATCCTGTTCTAGTCAGGACTCCTCCCACTTTTCTCCACTCAACATAAAACACTTCTAGGAGAAAAAAAAATTATTGTTAATCTTGAGATTCTCGACAGAAAGACCATTTCCATAATTATGAGCCAAATTTGAAGCAAGCTTTAATTAAATCCTGACCAGGATGGACTCTGTTCAGGTCCACTCTGGGATCCTAGTGAGTGGCCACAAATTACTTTCATATGGGGCATGATGGTGGTGGTGGCGGTGGTGTTGGTGGCAGAGGTGGCGGAGGTGGTGGCGGAGGTGGTGGTGGAGGTGGTGGTGGTGGTAGAGGTGGTGGAGGTGGTGGTGGTGGTAGAGGTGGTGGTAGAGGTGGTGG